GATTTAAGTGACAATGAAATCATTTGCAGATACCGGTTGCCAGGCCGCATGATCCTTGCGCTACTAGATGACATCAAGGATGACATTGAGCCTGCCACCCAGAGATCCCATGCTTTACCTGGCATTGTCAAATTAGTGTCTACTAGTGATGCGCGGATGGGCTCTGACGGCACCCGAATCCGCATCTATCCATCAATCATCCATCCACCACCCATCCGAGCAAATTAATTTTCTGTAATTACAGACCCGCATCCACCCGCACCCGCATGTTTATATTATCAGGAAAGATTAGATCCTGACCGATCCCGTCAGCTGACTGACATTAAAATAATCAATAAAATGGCGCCGTTACTCCGTGCGTAAAGGCGCACATTGGCACTCTTAATGAGGAGACACTCATTTCTGCTGCTGCGGGGATCACTGTGTTAAATAAACCCTTCCACATGACACATTTAAAGAGTATGCTTGCCCAGCCAATCATACATTATTTATCAGCGGGATATAAGCATGATGATATAGAGGGCCTATTGTATTGCACACGACACAAGTAGGCTCATTTCACATTTTAGAGCATGCAATACATTTTCCCCTCATTAATGTTTGTCAAAGCAATTTGTAAACTTTGTTTTTAAAGGGTGCGATTTAAATAAAAGTTATTATTAGGCTATTATTTTCACCCGCCCATAACCCATCTGCCATTAATCAGATTGTTCATTTTTATCACCCGATCGACCTGGCAGTTATAACTGCCATCCGCGCATCTCTAGTGTCTACACGACAGGTTCTTGCATCTGGCTCTTTCCAGAACCCCATTGCAGGCGTCTCAGGGCTCTCACAGTCATCCATCAGCAGGGCCATGTGCCGCAAATTGCGCTCAGCTGCCAAACTTTGTGGGCGTGTTAGCGCCGGCATATGATTAGAGCAAATTCTTTTGAGGATAAGGCGCTAAAACAGGGCAGATTGCGTGAGCTAATTCTGCGCAAATAATGGCGCTATTAGCAGGAGCAATCCATTCTTTGTGGATCTGGCCCTTAGTCTTGTTGCATTTTGTGCGTGTTATAAGTGAGTTTCAGTACAACTTGGATTAAGAAAAAAACCCACATTCACAGTACTAAATAGTTAAATCTGATTGAGTTCTCACACTGATGGGCCGACAGGATGAAGAGGGTGGTGTAACAACATCTATACCTGAGAAAACAGACCACAGACTAGACGTCTGTAGTTTTGCTGATGTCTCAAGAGAGCAGACAGAGTTACTTCTCTGTTCCATGTTAAATTTAGCTGTTGCAACTTATCAGTAATGTGCAATGTGTGGAGCGTGACACTGAAACTGCCATGTAATGGTGGCCCCCATGCTGAATGTGATGTACTGCACAGCATGCCTCTGCTACAGTAAGAGATAAAACCATTCATCAAATCAAGTTACATCAGTTACTGTGGTGCTGAAGGAGAATTCATTATGGTTCAAAATTTAGGATGCAAAACAGCTATAAATAAGGAGTTCAGAATTTGCTGCTCTCCTTATGTTTTTATAAAGACGCATCTAAATAAATTTTAACTGTATGATGCACTAAAACAAAGACATTTTTAATGGCAGCAAAAGTATGGCTGCACTGACCTCTGTGGGTTACAGGTTATTGCCTCATGTCTACCAGTGTGGTCGCTTGTCACAGCACATCACTATGGGGGGTTGAACATTTCAGCTGCTACAGTAGATGGCAACAAAACCCAGATTTTCAGCCTGTGTTTCTAGGCCTTTACAAGAGAGACATTTTGACATAGAAAATCACAGATGCAAATAGTAAAATTAATGATGACTGAAATCTGTTTAGCTGCTTCAGTTTTAGGATCTTGGTATTGTGTATGCTGGCTCACTGTTTCATGACAGTCATCAATGGTATTAGTAATAGCAACTGTGGTTTTCCTATTACATCCAGTCTGTCATGACCCGTAAAGCTACCTGAATTCATGTTTATTTGTTGTCTCAATATTTACTGTTATTTTGGTACCATTGTCTCATCTCATTTCAGATCCCACATCCTGTCAAGTTTCCATGCTTTGTGATTACTTGCCCTGCCCTGATGTGTTTCACCTGTGTCTCAGTGTGTTTAACCTGTGTCTCCCTTGTCTTAGTGTATTTAAGTTCCTTGTCTCCTTTGTTGGCAGATTGTCTTTACCTTTGAGTGAGAGTTCCAGTGTTTTCCTAGTGTATCTTGTGAGTGTGTTTTTGCCTTTTGACCACACTTTTTGCCTGTGTTACTGATCACCCGTGTACTGACCTGAGCCTGATTTAACACCCTGAACTTTTATCTGAGTCTGTGAGTCTGCTTTGTGAGTCCTTCTCCAGTTTGTGTTTGACACAGTCAGAATATCTGTTATTAAAAAATGCTGCACTTGTCAAAGACGGACTCAAAACTATTGACTCTACATTAATTAAATTCCATTCAGAGTCAAGGTTACTAAAAATTAAAAATGGCAAATCAAGCCAAAGATGAGAATGGTCCATCTACCCTGTGTAAAATACCTGTTCAGTTAGAATAAATAATTGAAAGTACTTTCAACTGCCAAAAGGTGTGTAAAAAAATATATACTGTAACTCCACCATTTTGTGGTGGAGCAGTTGTGTCTCAGCTGTGAGAAATGTCTAATTTTGTGTCCTACAGAGCTTTTCCTGAACAAAATAATGTGATTAAAAAATCAAAATATGCCCTTCCATGCCCAGTTGCCAGAGGAAAATGTTGCAAACCACCAATATGTTACATTTGCATGTTTCATACGAATCATATCAGTGTTTCTTAAGTGATGTTTAGTGTATAAGCAGGCTTTGTCGTCTGGAATTGAAGGGGATGGTAGATTGCATCACTTTATTTCCTGCGGGGACTGTGCCTCCAAAGCCAGATATTTTAAGCTAAAACATGATCTCTTCCAACCACAATAACCAAGTGTTGTCTTTTGTGCCTAAACCTAACCACACGTTAACCACAGCGCTGTTGAAATGAAAGGTTTCAGCATATGCATGTTGGGAATAGAATGATGTTATGTGTTTTACTATAAGTTGTGTTTCACTATATAAGTTTTAGATGTGTGAACAATGAGAATACTGAGATGATTTCAGCTGATCTGAATGTGTTTGCTTTGCAGAAGTGGAGAAGTACAGGAGAGGAAGAGACATGAAGTCTGAGGAGCACATACCGCAATGCTTAGATAATTAGTTTCATATATGGTAAAAAGAATAGAAAGTGATATACAGATAGTAAGGTACAGCACGTGTAGGGAGTTGTGTTGTTCTCTTGTCTTTCAAAACAGGAACCACGCCCCCACCGCCAGCGGGAAGGAGTCAGATTAACACGAGGCAGGGGCGTGGTGTGGTGAAGGAGGAAGTGGAACTGCCAATGAGAAGAGGACAACGCCTTGCGTGCACAATGACACTCTGTTACGCTCAAATATACTGGGTCAGGGGAAGGACAGGAGATCAGACTTCGTGAACTGACACACCTTTGTTGTTCGTCAGGGATGTGAAGTTGAGACCCAGAGCTCTGTAATTTTATTCCTTTACTGCTTAATAAACTACATTAACTGAGACCGAATATCTTCTCCTATTGCTTCATTAAAGAACACGCAGGACTGAGCTCACACATAGCACATTGGAGAGTAGGATGAGACTCTTAGTCCATCATGCGCTACATAACAATGTACAAATGAAACATATCTGTGGTTTGCAAAAACGTAAAATGCCAACATAAATTCTCGTGATTGGGTTGCTGTTTGTCTGCTATGTTAAGTGATTACTGAGTAGACACTGATACAGGATGTGAAGGAAATTTAAATTAGGTGCAACAACTTAATTTGAAATAAAAAACACATCACTAAGGACTTTGGTTGTATTGTCTAAATGTTTATTGTTTCCCTCTTACTCTCCTTTGGTTTCAAAAATGGTGATAACAGTCAAGTAGCTTGATATAAGAATGAGCAGGTCACAGAAACATCGTGTGTACAGTCTCAAAAAAATGCAGTATAATTTAAATATCCTTGGCTGTTTCGCTAAAGAAGTAAATACTGTATAACACATTCAAAACTTACTATACTTGAACCAATAACACAACATGAATCAGAGTGAAACATTTGCTTGCTATATAACTAATAAAAAAAAGCAATACTACACATGAACTTTTTCTCCTTTAGAAGTAGAAATAATACTAGTACAGTACTCAGAAGTAGCTGTACTACAATCAAACTGTAACATAGTAATAAATATAACTGCAGGGAGTCGTACAGAAAGTGCTGTGCTAAAGCTTTAAAATACACATTTACAGATATGTAATACAGAATGTTAGCCCCATAGTTAAACTTTTTTTAAAGGACTTGTTCATCATTTTGAAAAACACACACATTCGAGTTAGATGAGAAGATCAATGTCACTCTCGTGTCTGTGCCTAAGTACAAAGCTACATACGGAGCCAGAGTATGCAATACTTGTTTCCTGCTTGGAGCCAGCTCTGAAAGCCGGCAGAAACAGCTTATCTGGCTTTGTTGAGAATTTAAAAAACTGTGCTTACTAGCACCTCTAAAGCCACATCCACACTAATACATTATTCATTTTAACAGTGTTTTAAAATGAAATGACGGTACATATGAGCGACGAGGGAGACGCCAGAGGCAAGACATTCTGAAGACAAATGAGACTGAGAAGGTGTTTGACACGCCACCATGAATTCTAACACTTGGCTTTCACCTGGGAGAGTGGTCTTTGTGTCCCTTAAGATTATAAAGCAAAATCCTGTTCCTTTATTCTAAACCTAACCATGTGTTTTTGTTGCCCAAAGCCAACCACGTGTGTTTGCTGTTGGAGGGAAACCTAACTTCAGTTTGCGGTGTTGCACTGATGTATTGTGTTTATTTTGAGACTGTATGTAAAAAGGAAATTTCCTGTGAAAACAGAAGTGTATTTTGAAAGAAGACAATGCATGTAACAGGCAGAACTTCACATGGCGTGCCAGAACGTCAACAACCAACGCACCCAAGGTACCTTTCCTGACATATCTGGACATGGAAGGTCCATGACAAAATGTCAGTATGTGACGAGGGCAGAGAATCTGTTGGGCGATGAGTCAACCACACACACACACACTGAAGATAGGAAAGGTTGCTGTAAACATAACAATAGTTACACTTTTAAAATAAAAATGTATTACTGTGGATGTAGCCAAAGGCTCAGATAGATCATTAGATAAAAATTCACCTTAATCTAATTAATAGATAATTTATCTACTAAATGCCAAAAAAGTTGTTCTCTATTTTCTCCTCCTTTAAAATTATCAAATATATTTGACGCCTTGTCTTAATCTTGATTTATGTTATATGAGGATATTTTAGACTTGATACTTTAATCTGTCGCTACTTAGACTGGTGGAATCTGGCAGTTGATTGGTCATTCTCCTGGTTGTTAACTAACGGGGGACTGAACAGAGGCGCAGCCACTGAAGTAGAGCTAGAGACTGAATTGATATGAGTGCTAGTGCCCACTGCCACCGAAGCAGTGGATGCTGGGTAAAAATGGACATCCACTGCGACCGTAGTGAGGCCTAGGGAGACGTGGTGAGAAAGGAGCAGGGGGGGGTTGCCATGTGAGATGCTGAGGCTATGGTGGATGGGTGCTGCACACGCCTCTGCACTTCGCAGGGTTAATGAGGAGCGCAGCCCCTCTTCTCGTCTGGATGGGGGAGAGGGGGAAGGTGAGCGGGAGGGTAAGGATGATGGGGGAGGCAAGGCGTCCTGGCATGGGCTGTGGTTGTCTCCTCTGTTACTGGTCCAGTCCTCAGCACACTGCAGCTGGATGCTCGGCTGTGACAAGGTGCAGCCCTTCTCCTCCTCCACAGACGGATCAATCTGAAATAGTATAATGATAATCATGATAACTTAGATGATACCACAGTGCTCCTTTGTTTTATCAATCTGTTCATGCCCAGAGGACCTAAATTCCCCTAAAAGTCAGACAAAAATATCTCTGGATATCCCTGGATTTTCCACCCTGTCACATGCATGTAATATCAAACCTTTGTGTCAAGGATTGGCTCAGGATATGTTTCTACAGTGACTGAGTGGTTGTCCAGAGCAGGTGGCGTGTCCTCCTGAAGATCCTCAAATGTGGGCTCCATCTGCACTGTGACCAGGCTCGGTCCTGGAGGTCTTGCTCTGGTGTCTGATGTGTTTGGGCTCTGTTCAATCACTGCCACACAGTCATCATCTTCAAAAGCTCTGTGAAAGAAACACAACACTGGTTTCCTGCATCTTCTGGAGGCAAAAGATCAATTGTTACACCTCATCTCATGCATTTCTTTGGCCTGTTTAATAGTGCATTTACCTGTTTTCGTATGTGCGTCCTGCAGCTCGGCGTTCAGTGTGTCTTACAGGGACACCTAGATTCCTCTGAGCTGTCAAGGAAATTTAAATTTTAAAGGGATAATTTGACATTTTGGTAAATATGCTTAATTTGCTCTCTGGATCTGTCTATTGATTTATGAAGCTACTGTAGGGTTGCCATCTTCCAACTCTTACGTTTCCCTTCAATACAGAACAAGTCTTTTAGTTTCCAATCACGAGATGATTCCATATTTTATGGGGTTGGCAACCTTAGCAAGTGAGCTGGTTAGCGTAGCTTAGTGTGAATTGAATGAGAAATAACTTTTTAATTAGTGACCTTTAGAGGTGATAGTAGGCAGATTTTGTTACCTTTGGACAAAGTCAAGCTAGCCGTTTCCTCCTGTTACCAGTATTTGTGCTGATCTAAGCTATACGACTGCTGGCTGTAGCCTCATATTTAAAATTACGAAAGCATCTAAAGGCCCTGACACACCAAGCCGATGGTTGGCCGTCAGTTAAAGTCAGGCTGTCGGTGAGCATCTGTCGCCCTAGTTTTTGGGGCGTGTCCCGCACTGTCTGCACTTCGGTATCGGCGGATTTTCGGCCGATTGAGCATGTTGAATCGGCGGCGGAGCTTGTCGGTGAGAGAGATTACTCTGATTGGCTGTTCAGGTTTTAGTTCCTCGCCCCTGTAGCGAGTGAATCTGTCTGTAGTGAAACCGGGGCTAACCGGTGGTTCCTCCTCAGGCTCCACTTCACTCAGCTGCCTGACAGACCCGCTGCTTCTTCCCACTGTAACCTAAATAACAAACCGGGGCTAGATGTGAGGCTAGCGAAGCGTTAGCCAGTAAGCCTCCGCTAGCTTCCCAGCTAGCCCCGGCTCTCTGTTTGGATCCAACCAGAACACTGAGCCCGGTTTGTTATTCAGGCTAAAGTGGGAAGAGGCAGCGGGTTTGTCGGGCAGCTGAGTGAAGTGGAGCCTGAGGAGGAAGCACCTGGACCGTCTGGATGTAATAGTCCGTGGAGGTGCTGCGGTGCTCAGCGGCACAGATAGGAAACCCCTCGGCTGACAGCATGTACCACTCTCTCACTCCACTCTCTCTCACGCAGGCGCAGAACGTACGTGCTACTTGGCCGTCTGATGCAGTCTTTGTAGTGTGTTCAAATGCAACTGACCTGAGGCGACTTAGACAATGCAACAGTCTGCTTTCTTCGCCGCTAGTTCTTTGATGTCGGTTTGGTGTGTCAGCACCTTAAAATATTGTTGTTTTCTTCAGACAGGCTTTGATGTCTAAAATCAGTGAGGTTCATGAGTGGTATCAATTTTCTTATCTGAATCTGTGTCTTGGATTGAACAAGCATATTTCCCAAAATGTCAAATTATTCTTCAAAGAACAAAGATTTATTTCTTTAGGTTTACCGTGCTCAGAATGTAAAATAGGTGTGTTGACAGTTGATGCAGCTGAGGATCTCTGACCTGCTCGGCTGGTTGGCGCAGCTTCGTTCTTCTGGACCACTGAATAGAAGGTAACAGTGATGAAGATGAAGGCCAGAGATACACCCACTCCCACCACGATGGGGATGTCGTGTTTCTCCAGCACAGGCAGCCATGATGGAGACTGCTGCGTTACTCTGAAGTATAGAACACATTATTATCAACACTCTGCACAAATTCCATCCTCACAATATCCATCACTCCACCATATTTTAATCTGACCTACCTGGGATCATTGCTGGTCATAGGTGACTGAGAGGTGTTCCTCTTCAGCCACTCTGTAAGCTCTGTGTCATTGCCTGATTTAGCTGAATGAACTGAGTCATCTTGCTGGCTGGTATTCAACTGCACCTGATCTGACACGTTGACCCGATTGACAACAGTAATCTCAGGGTCCAGCGTTGAGGGATCATTTGTCTCACGGATGGTTGAGACTGAAGGCTTGATTTCAAGAGGGTTTCTGTGTTGGACTGCAAACGTTTCTGTCTGTGATAGAGGAGCTTGTGAGTTGAGGTGTGGATGTGGTGTTGGAGATGACTGAGGAAGTGTGAATAGAGTTGAAGTTGGTGTTGCAGGTGAAAACTGACTGTGAGTTTGGGATAGTTGGGGATTTGTGACTATAGAAGTTGGAGGTTGTGTGGGAGGGAGATAATGCGGGATTGTCGATAGCTCAAGCTGGAACTTTGGAAAAAGACCATGAGTAAATGATTGCTGAGGGTCAGATTGAGATATTTGCGAGATGGTTGGTGAGGGATGCAGATGTTGCAGCCGTTGATCTGGGTGAATGAGTGTGGTTTGAGAAATCTGGGTTGAGGTCGGCTCATGGTACGATTGGTAAAACTGACCATTTGTAGCCATCTCATAAGGTTGAGTTTGGTGCAGATCAGCTTGTAAAGCAAGAGACTGGGTAACTGAACCAGGGTGGCTTGTCTTAGTTTCAGTTATAAGACTCTGTGTTGGAGTGGGAGAATATGAATCCGACTTGAGATAGTGAAAGGGTCCACCCTCCGGAATAGATGACGTCTCAGTGAAAGGCTCAGTGATTTGAATGGCTAGAGACACAGCATGAATGTTAGAGTCCTGGGAATCAGGCTCTGTCAACAACTTGTCACTAACTTGATGCTGATATTGTCCATGTGATGACATTAATGTTGACAGGGAGTGACTTTCAGTGAGCGGGGACTGAAGGGTTGAACTCAACACTTGAACAGTGTCTACTGATGTCTGTCTGTGTGTCACTGATGGCTCAGTATTTGAAATCAAAAGCGTATCACTCGTAAGTGGCAGTTGGGTGTGGAGATCTACTGACTGGAAGTTCGGATGTGGTGGAGGTGGTAACATAGGAGGCTGCATCTGTGTGACTAACGGCTGGGTTGGATTGGTTGTAGGCTGATTCAGGCGGTGCTGTAAAAGATGGCCAAGTGATCGAGGTGGCATCTTTAGCTCAGCCACTGCTCCCCTTGAAAATGTAGGAAATGAGGCAGCGCTGTTTGTTGTAGGATCACAGTGTGAAAAGGAGCCTGGAAATACAAAAAAAAAAAAAAAAAAAAAATACAACATGCATTTTATTTCTGTAAATCCATATTTAGTTATCAGGTTGTAAATGAGGCATTTGTGTTGCAGGATTAGCTTTACGTGAGTGGATTTTGGATGACCCTCACTGCACAGGAAAACCATAATTGCACAAACTACCGTAAGTACAATAGTTGTGCGGTAAACCGGAAGAAAGTGAAGCCAGATCAAGATGTCAGTTTGTACAGTTTTACAGGGGAAATAGAGGTCTTCATGGGTCGAAAATGACAGCCCTCAACCCTAACGGACCCTGGAAATTCATTCCAAGATCTGATCGGACCTGATAATTTTTAAAAACATATACAACCAGCCCAGTTTTGCCCAAGATATCACAGATCCTCGGTGCATGTCCGTGAGGTGAGAGGGTCTTGGGTCTATTTTATGGACTCATTAAACACAGTGTTTAAATTTACTACTGAGAATATTGTTCTACTGCTAAATGCATTTCTCATGTCTGATACAACATATTGCAGTTTCCTTTGGCTTATAGCCTTAAACACATTGTCTCATGGCATGCTGGGAAACTCCATGTATTTAACCCCCAACACGCCACAATATTGTTCTTACCCATCTTACTGTACATAACGTAGTCTGTATATTAAAGATAGACGACATAACAGCTCCCCCAAAGTGAGGCTAAAACATTTGATTGGCTGGCTGCAGTACAGGTCATAAATTCCATCCCTCCATGGTAGCAGATGGGACGAGGGCCAAAGTAAAAGATCGAAGAACAGGTCAAATATATTTTATAGAGTAGTTATTAGTAATTTAACGGACTTTCACAGCCTCAGTGTCTGCCTGTATGATTGTCTGACTATTGTTACCAGATCGAAGTAATTGCTTTGATGAGAACAAAGTTATAATGTATAGACACTTTTGTTCAAGTACATACATGTTGCCTCCTGCTGTGCCTGTACGTGTGAATGATGTGTTGTTTCAAGGTGTTGCTCAGCCACAGAGTCACTGGATTGGGACACTGGCAGGTCGTTGCTGGTGTCGGTGCTCTAGAAAACATGACAGACTCTTAGTTTGAGGACAGGCATAACTTTTGACAAAATCAGAAATGAACTAAGCCAATGAACCAGTAGGCCACAGATATCAGAGCAGTGATGTCACCCACTGACAATGGAAAGTCACCACATGTGAAGTTGCAAAGCGCACACACGCACACACAGTTTAGAATACTTCACAGCTTCTGGACAGACACCACTGATGTGGTAACCAAACAGTGTCACCACACACAAGCAACAGCAGAGGTTTTCACACTGTCATTACTCACAGCAGACAAAACCAGTCTTGTCTGCTTGCCTCTATCAGCTGGACGATGTTCAGCTTAGGACAGAGGACAGCATGAAAGACAATCAGCAAGAAAAATATATTTGTGCATATTGGGGTCGAGGAAGAATCTTGACTATAATTATATACTGTAAGTGAACACCTCAAAGTACATGTAAAAAATACCTCAAACAATGACACACATGAACACCGACTCTGAATATACTGTGATAATAAGACTATGTGTTTGTATTTAGTAATGTAGTGTATTTGTCTCTCTGAAAGAAGACATAAAAGTTGAATGATGATGACATACCCGTGACAGCGAGGACGGTACGCCTCTGATGTCGTCCTGCTCGGTTCTCAGCAGTACAGTAATATTCGCCTACATCAGAATACTGCACACTGGAAATGTGCAGAGCTCCATCTTCTACACATAAAATACCAACTCGTAAATCACATCCAGTTTAGGTATCCGTAGATTAAAGTTCACATTAGCTGATGAAAACAGCTTCTACTGAGAGGCAGAATGGCTCCAATGACACTTTGGACTTACCATCAATGTATCTGTCCTCACTGGGACTGATGGGGGTCTGTCTCTTTGCTCTGCCCCTGGTCCAGGTATATGTGATGGGCAGAATCCCTACAGCTCTGCAGGGCAGGACCACTGAAGCCCCAATCCTGCAGCTCACCTGACCTATAAAGGTCACTATGATGGGACTCACTGGGACGAGGAAAGAAGGAATTTGAGTCATCGCTTTATATGCCTCAAGGAGAAGATAATTCATTTGGCAAAATTATACCTATTATTATTGTTATATTATTATTATACCTACTTAACAATAGAAAACATGTGGCACAAAATGAACCTTAGTGTATTCCCACATTGTTCTTAAGAGGTTTGTGAGGTCCAATATCATATAATGTGGAGAAATGCATTGTATTTGACTTACGTATTTTGCTCCAACAAAGACTATAGAACAGATGTTTCTCTTAAAAATAATATCTTGGTAAGACTACCATGATGACATGTCTGATCTATCTGAATCTTACCTCAGGTGTTGCAGGACATTTTGTTACGTTTATGCCACAAAAGTCAGTGTCACAAGATCCTGACTTCATCTGGACCTGACCAACTGATCTGAGGAGTAATTAGTACATTACATCGCAGTTAAGTTTGTGTAAAAATTACCAGCAACTCTCAGCATCGCTGTGTTGCGGCTGTGGCCCAAAGTGTTGGAGGCCTCGCACACATACACTCCCTCATCGTAGCTCTGGGCTGACTGGATGTAGAGAGTGGCATTCCTCGATCTGTATGACAAAGATGTAAATGGTCACAATCTACAAGGCAGTTGTCAGAGTATTTTTCATGTGGTTTTGCTTGCAAGGGTGGAGCAGGGCGGCGGAGGCCTCGGGGGCTCCAGCCCTGAATGTTTTCACAAATGCCCAGAATCTGTGCTGCTCCCTAAAGAAATCTAGTGTAATAGAATAAATGTTCTTCTGTTGGCCTAATGTTTAACTCGGAGTTTTGAAGATTACATTTACTTTACATTGTTGGGCATTCTTGATTTGTAATTAATTATTATGGGATGTATTCAAATGGAGCTGCTACGTTGCTTAAAAAGTCATCCTGTGAACTCTACTCCAGCATATTCATTTATTCAAATTCATTCTTTCTTTTTCGTAAACCACTTATCCTGTTAGGGGTCACGGGAGGCTGGAGCCTATCCCAGCTGACACTGGGCGAGAGGCAGGGTACACACTGGACAGGTCACCAGACTATCACAGGGCTGACACATAGAGACAGACAACCATTCACGCTCACATTCACACCTACGGGTAATTCACCCATAGTCACCAATTAACCTGCATGTCTTTGGACTGTGGGAAGAAGTACCAGAGTAAGTAGTACCAGAGCAAACCTACACTGACATGGGGAGAACATGCAAACTCCGCACACCCTGGGTTCAAACCAGGGAGTGGGGGGCTGTGAGGCGACAGTGCTAATCTCTGTACCACCAAGCCGTCGTATAACAAAAATAGGTTTCAAGATTAGTAATGCTGTTTACGCCAAATTCCCACCCTATTCCTACACACTATTTTGCTTAAAATTAGTAACATCAGACAACTGGAGTGAAAATTTGACATTTGCAACATTTGCTAAGTTATATTTTTAGAATGATCAAGACAGGTGGAGAACAATTAGACAGAAAATAGGATATAGGCTCTGCAGGATAATTTTTTTCCTTGGCAACTATCATATTTTTTCCCAAATGATGTACAGATTTTGGGCATTCTTTTATCTGAAATGGCTTGAAAATAGTGCATATAGCTGTAGTAAATCAGAAAACCAGGGGAGCGTGTCCCTGGACCCCCCTAGCTTCAGGCTGAGCCCTGAATGTTTACAATGTTTTGCTCCACCCCTGTTTGCTAGTGAGCAAAACTGGTGCAGTATTTACTTAAATATTGTACCTAAACACAATTTTAAGGTACTTGTACTTTACTTAACTATATCTTATTTAGTACTTTATATCTCTTCTCCACTACTTTTCAGCAGGAAATATTGTACTTTGTACTCTATATTTACTTTAGTTGTTACTCTGATCTTACCCTCAGGTGTTTTCAGTTATGCTGCTGATTAGACCCACATACTTCTATGATTCCAAAACACACGGGACAAGATGTTAAAATCCTTTGTGCAAGCACATACAAGAGGTCGTTGGTGAACAGTAGATATGGGCTAAGATTAAGTTATAAATTTGGTATGCATCTTCAGTAGTCTTCCTTTGGTTCCTGGGGTGTTTCGGCTATTCACACTATACACCCTCACCAAAGGCGGCCAGCTACAGGGTGATCATTCCTGAGCTTGCATCCCCTGCCCAATTATGCATGATTATTTATTGTCATTTATGATTAATTATTGCTATTTGGAGACCAGCAGGGATCCTTCCTTTTCAGCCAGAGCCACTGGCTGCTTCTCTCTGCTGCCTCCGATGCAGCTTTGATGGCCCAGCGCTGGCTCTGGCCCCTGATTCCCAGGTCCCTCAGTAGTTTGGTGGTATATGTTGCCACAAACCCTCTGCACCCAACCTCCACTGGGCGGACTTCTGTTTTAACAGAACTGCCCCTCAACAAAACCATATTTTTGTCTACGTGTACAAATTTTTATCTTGTGTGCATGAGATTTAAAAAAAGAGAGCAGACCTACATTTTACTGATAATACTTTTTTTTTCCACAAGTAGAATTTTGAATGCAGGACTTTTACTTGTAACAGAGTATTTTTAACACTGTGGTATTGTTACTTTTCCTTGATCAGAGGATCTGAGCACTTCTTCCATGAGAAAATATTATCAACCATCCCTCCTCTCCAATAAAGTCATAACACATTAACATACCCCAAAGCAATCTTGCCTCCAGTCTGCTTGGAGTGTCCTCTCTTCAACCAGCTGATGGAGGGTAGAGGGTGACCAGACACCTGACACTCCAACACCACCCTAGTACCCACAGGCACCTTCAACACCTGGGGCCTCAGTTTCACTGATGGAGGGGCTGCCAGGAAGAGAGAATAACGACTGTTATTATACACGTCCAGGGCCCAGTGGCACAGTGTGGTGGGTCTAATTGTAATGTTATACCCAGCACAGTCAGGGTCGCTCTTCTGGAGGTGAGAAATCTTTGAAGGTGGATGTTGGAGGCCCTGCAGAAGTAGCTCCCACTGTCGAACTCCTGGACCCTGCAGAGAAAAGTTTAAACACATATGCAACCACACCTGAGATATGGTGATGATCAGAGTAAATTACAGTATCATTAGCAGTAACATTGCATATAGTCACGCTCTGAACTACAGAACACCAATGTACAAAAACAAATGAAACTGGAAACACATGCACTCAAAAACTAAACTTTCTAACCACAGAACACATGGCATGTCTTTACACACACCTATGGATAAAGAGGTCTCCACTGGGCAGCACAGTCTCACGAGCTGCAGGAGAGAGAAGTCTGTTGTCTTTGAACCAGGACACCTGAGCTGCTGGTTGGCTGTATGGAGGCCTGCAGGTCACTGTAACATTTTCTCCCCTCTTCACTGTCAGGTTTACAGGCTGCTGGATGAAACTCCACTCCATCTCTGGAAACACAACATGTGCATCACTTTGGACCCTTTTTTTTCACCAACATCTATCACACTCTCTTCTGTGTCTGACGTTCACCACAGCAGCCTCGTTCTTGTCTTCTGCCTCTGTCTTCAGCCTCTCTGCCTGCTCTGCTTTACCATTCCCAGCCCACCTCAGCCATCATAGCACTCAAGCCCTCGGCCTCACATCTTCAAGCTACAATAAAATGCCTTTAACCATTCTCAGTTTCCTGGTTGTGTTTGCAATTTGTCTTATTTTTTTTAACAAGACAGCTCACTTACTTTGAAAATGATTTAACAGAGTTAAAAATGCAATAATAAACAATGTAGTTTACTGCAGACGTTGGCACACAGTACCGGCTGGAAGTAGGAAGGCTGTCTGTGACTTGATGGACTCTTTCTGGTTGGATGCTTCACAGTGATACAAGCCCTCATCCTCCCTGGTCACATTCCTGGAAAACAAAGCCAGATATTAGTCTGTAAATTCAGCCTGAGTGTAAAGAGTCCAGACAGCGTAGATTACAACTTGCTGTATTAAACATATTCCTGATCAAACCAATGACAAAATAATCACAATTTTCACAGTTCTTGGTTCATTAATACAATGTGACAATAAAGAATTAATATTCCTCTCGTCACGTGCAACGTTGGACCTGAATGTGAGCAGCTGTCCATTGTTCTGGAGGTTAAAAGAGGCCGAGCAGTTCGACAGGAGGCAGCCGTCTTTGAACCAGTGCACCATGGGAACAGGGAAGCCTCGGACAGCACAGTGCATGGAGACCTCTGTTCCCATAGCAACAGTGATGTTGTCAGGGCCCTGGATGATCTGCAGCCTTCTAGGGACCCCTGCAAGGTGGAGTGACAATGCTTCAAGATATTAACAACACTGCATTAAGTCTATGTTAATGAGACAAAACACAAAAACAAAAACACGCACTCACCCTGCACATTTAGTTTAGCCGGCTTGCTCTTCTTGCTGATGTTCAGTACAGGATTGTGTGTGACACAGATGTATGTTCCATCGTCCTCTAATGTTACGTTGATAAGATGTAGAGTGCCTGAGGTCTTCCTCTGATTACCACCTCCAAACTCACCCTGAATGTGAAAACAAAATTTGAAGCATAGAGTAATAATACATCTGGGTTTCCATTTCCACCAAAATGTTGGCACCAAAACTGGATGTTTTTCAGCACGGCATCAGCACCTCTCCAGAGGCAACTGTTACATCGAAACCAGGTGTTTTTTAGCAAGACATCAGCTCTTTTCCAGATGAGATTGTTGCATTGAAACCAGGTGTTGGCAAGACATTGGAGCATTTCTGGCCCATGTTTTTTAGCGAGACATTTGGGTATTTCCAGCCCAATTTTGGCACCAAAACTTTGTGTTTTTTAGTACAGCATCAGGGCATTTCCAGCCCAGTTGTGGCACTAAAACTGGTTGTTTTTAGCGAGACCTTGGAGCATTTCTAGCTGTGGTTGCGGTAACAAAGCCGGGAATTTTAAGCCAAAACATTTTCTTTTCCCAGTGCTTTCTTCAATGTGCTCTGCAGGCACAACAGGTTTCATCATGGAGTTGCATCTATCTCTGTTTTACCTCAGCTATTCCCAACTACAAATAATTGCAGTTTGAAACACTCAGGGAAAATCAAACACCTGATTAATTTAGTAATGAAAATATCCTCATCTGGGAGACACTGGGGAAGGTATAGCAGGATGGCAGCATCTGGGAGACCCGCAATACCGAGGTCAGCGGTAAAGAAAGACCATAAAGAAGGTTTATCATGTAGAACACCTGTCTAAACAAATGATGGTGGTGGTGGTGTGAGTCCAGTTATTCAAGGATAGATTTCAGGCAGGAAAAGGTGGATCTGTTTGTTCCATCCAAGCCTTGTGTAGAGACAGGCAGCAGCAGGGGTTGACAGTCATTCAGAGCTCACCTGAATGTGTCTACCTCTTGTGATCAGTCTCCCGTCTTTAAGCCAGGTGATGCTTGCAGGAGGTGAACTTTCCCCGGACACACACTGGAGGAAAACTCCCTCTCCTTCTCTGACTGTCTGGTCCTGGGGGCTGAAGAAGACATCCTCCAGACCTGGGACACACAGTATAAACAGGAAATAGACATTAGAGACAACACATGAATCATTATGTTGACATCATGCGTGGTGTCAACATAATGATTCATGCGTGGCGTCAACACATGAATCATTATGTTGACACCACGCATGATGTTAAGGGACAGCACACATCCAGTGGTTGGACTAATTTGCGGACTCACCCAGTTTGGATGAGACTGCCAAGCTGGACAGGATGAGTAAGCAGAGGTGGGAAGTCATCTGTAGGAGCGTCCAGATGGAGACATACACATGCATCCTACTGCAGAGCTCCCTGGGAGGCACGAGACGTACACCACCACACAGCTTCATCCATGGTGTTGGCTGGGAAAGTTTGCAAAGGCAGAATTTGTATCGGAAATGTTGTCAATGTCAACTTTAGCTGTCACAGACTTTGATGTACAGACAGACTGCTGTCTGACAGCTCTGCAGTGTCTAGTCTTAATCAGGCAATTGATTATTTAAAATTACATGCGTTGGGTAATGAATCGTGTGCTGCATATTGTTACAATTCACACAAGGAGGTGCAAGAAGCACTGTTATAGCATGTTGAATAGGACTTGTTTTAATGCGATAAGGAATATCTCCCCTACAAAACAATGATCCCCATATCAGTTAGGCACCCTGTGTTTCGTTGTATTTGTGAAGTAAACAATGCTTTTCTTACATGCCTCCACAATGAATGAAGAATCCGAAAAAAGGGGAACATTATTCTGCTTCCACATGAACAGTTTCATCCAAGGACAAGTAGTGCGCCTAAATGGTAGGATTTTAGTGAAAATGCATGTATTTGTGAAGCACTGAACATACGACTGGATAAATAAGACTTGGATTAAAATGCACAAGTTGTGTGAGAGTTTGTAAACATATGTTTTGATATAGTTATGCCGTTGTGAAATGCAGATCCCAGTTTTCTCCAGTTCATCAAGAATTTCTCTGTTTTTGGATTCCTTGTTCACCGTGGAGTAATGACCTGCACAACCCGGCGTATTATGGGAAATATAAAACTTGTTTTCTCTTCAAACTACTCACCCATCTTTTAAGTGGTTTGTTTACATTATGTAACAGAGGTGCATATTTAACAGATTCAGTGAGACACGCCCGCTTGCTTGCTGTTAGGACACAGTGTTAGGCCCAAATATTTTATGAAACAAGTATTTTTACCAGGAATTATGACTGGAGAGATTTAGATATGTCAAACTTCAACAGATTCTACTACTCAAAAGCTGATAATGGAATCCCTGACTGCAGCAGTGCTGATGATGCTGCTTGCTGTGAGTGTTTAAGACAGTCAGAGAGAGACAGAGAGACAGAGAGAGGGGAGAAGGTGGACTATTGCACAATGTCTCTGTAAGTATTAATAATGAACTCAGAATGCTGCTTTGCCATTTAATGACCCGCCTGCCTGAAATGCCAAGCACACAGGATCTGCGGCTGCGGGTTGTGAGTTGACCCACACATCAATGCTTTTGAGGCATGCAAGAAAACCGGTTCAAAGTTTATTTCATAAGTTCCGTGTCATATGGTGTGAGAAACTGATTTGCAAGGGATAATTCTGTGGGTGAAGCATGTCTTTAACCAGCACCAGCCCTTCATCAGACATGAACAAGATAAGGAGACATCTGTGTCTCCTGGTGCCCAAAATGTTATATGTGGTGATATGGTAAAATTTACAAAAGAAGCAGTTACCATTGTGTGGACCTGTTTTTGTATTTTTGTATTTGTTCTTCAGTCCAGCACCTAGTATTTAATGTTTTTGGATGTGCGTGACTCCTTTAATCTCATTCATTAGCTCTGTAGCACTGTGTTTAAAGCTACACACCCTAGTAAGCACAACATAAGTACTTCTACAGTGAAGCAAAGAGATTTTGGTCAGACTAATCTATGACACACGTAAGATAAGTGAGTTAAAAATTGGATTGTTTTTAAGTAATACGGTTATTTTTACCAAGTGTCATTTCAACACCAGTAAAGCTGCTGTTTGCATAGATTCACTTTTGATCCATTTCTAGAAAATGTATTCAGCAGATTAATTTAACATTACTCTCTCTCACTGTCTCCCTCTTGCTCTTAACACCCTCCCCTCCCTGCTCCCTTTGCTTCATTCCTATTTTGGTTGTGAGTCTGTGGCACCGCAGCGAGCTCAGCTTTGTCCTCTTTAGTCCCTTGAATGGGCCCAACCACTTTATAGAGCTCGCACTGTGGCCCTGCACTCAATGAAAGTGACATGAAAAGAGGCTGCGGAGCTTTGTACTGTGAAGATCAGTTATTGGTCCTCTGCAAGGAATGCTACCCGTCTGATCGCATAGGCTTTCATGATTCTCAATATGACCATATAAGGGCCGATCCTTTATTGTTTAATGGTACCACAATTTCTGCATGTGCTGTGCTGAATTTGCACAAGTAATGTCAAAGGGGCGCATGCCAAAGATGTATTTTGATCTCTAGAGACTCAGTTATGATTAAAGGGTTAAACTGTGTGTGTAATGATGAAGGTTAAAGACTTCAGTGTGCTTTGCAAGAATGTGAATGCTGCTTCCAAAAATTCAGCAAAAGAAAATGCAAATTAATGTATGTTCCCATCCCCCATCCTTGTGCATATATAAGGAGTTGGGTACATTTGGACACACAGCTAGAGGTGCTAAATATCCAGTCAGGTGCTATCAAATTATTGCAGAAGAAGATGGCATAACAAGATGGCCAGCTAAACCTCACACTGTGGAAACCCATGTGAAAAAGATGACAATGCAGCATTTATCTTTGTTTCCACATGTAATTTAGGGATTTTACTTTCTCCTCATGGTTTGTCTAATACTTTAATTTATTTATTTCTTAATTTCTTGTGTCTCACTTCCACACTTTCAATGGGCCTCATTTACCAACCTTTCTAAAGAGGAAAGTTCTTCTTAAAACCCACTTACACAAAGATGCCGACATTTAACAATGTTTTCTTATTTGTGATTTGTTCTATGTAAGAATTGAATCTTCATACACTCAACAGCACACTTGGGTACATTTGATTGCTGAGATGCTTTTGTAAGTTTTGTATGTTTTGTTGTATGATATTTTCCATCATATTACAATTTTTTTAACTAATTATTTCATAATTTTACAAAAAGCATGTGGTCTTTTAGAATAAATAAACACTACACTAACACTTTGCTTTCAATTTACAAGGACAAGGGGCTTCATCATTATGAGCACAGGTGCAAACAATTCTGCAGTTTAAGAGCACATCATGAATGCGACATAGACCTATCAGGACTTTTCTCCAGAAAAAAATCAAGAAAAAACTTAATAAGGCCCAATGTTTTAAAGTGGATTAAAACACTCACAACGCTCATTATGTGGAAATCTGGTTGTTACATTATAATAAAACTTGTGTTGTCTTATCCTTGTCCTAAATGCTTTAAAGGATGTTACAATTTTCTATTTTTTTTTTGCAATTATCACTGAATAAACATCTATAAACAGTAGATCTGTTCTTAGACAATATCATCTACCCTTACCTTAGATTACTGTAATAAATTACTTGCAATTATAGCCACAAATATCATCATATTATCAATATTGAGTTTTATAGACAAAGTTATAATCACATTTTATTTTACATTAGCCACCTGGCCCCGCACATATGGTACTGTAGCCTTTAGAGGACAAAATAAATCAATAGATGTGAGACTGTGCACTTCTCACCAGTGATGACAGTCCTGTACCAATAAAAAAAACTACTAGTATATACACTATGAGTATGTTAGTCATCACTGTTGAACTAATGAATGAATTGCTTGACTGGCTCAGCAGAGCTAGTGGCTGGTTACACTCACATAATGCTGAGAGCCTGTGGGTGTGTATTTGTTTGACTCACAACAGATCATTTACACCATTTAGCATGTCATTATGATGGTTTTAGCCCACACACTGACTCTCGTGCTCCTTCTTTTAATGCAGATTGCCAAAGCCATAATATTCATTATTTTCTATTTACTTAATCTCTCAAATGAACAAAGCAATAAGTGGAGAAGCTGAATTTATGTCACCATTGAGTGCAGTCCAGCCTGTTGGATGACAAACTTTGATGCCTCGCACATTATTACATTTCTACAAATCTCGTTGTCGTCTTCAGATAATGAAGAAATGATAAATTTAAATGAAATGTCACTGCTGGGTCAGTCACAGTCTCCTGCAGGTACTTATAAGGAAGTGTGGTGGGGCTGTAGCTCTGGTGAATGAGCTGAATGTATCACTTCACATCAAGTGGTCAGTAATCTGGAGTTATAATTTATGTTTAAGTGTCTACAACATGGACCACATCCCCAGCTTCTGAGATGATTGTTGGACAGTGATTACATTTAATTTTAGGGGCATTAGAGTTCAAATAAAAAGCTGAAATTCTTGTATTTTTAATGCTTTAAAAGCATATCCCATTCCTTTTTTTTTCTTTCAGTGTAGAAGTCAAGTCAATAAAAAATGAAGATTTAGCCCTCGTTTTGGGTTTGATTTCATTAAAAGTATTACTGCTTAAATGCATTTTACTGTACTAACATGCATTTAAATGTTCAAAGGCTAATCAGGAACAGCAGACTTGCTTCTATTTTTTGCAATCTCTCCCACACTACTACTATCAAATCACAGTAAACTGGTTGCATGCATCCAACAAATATATACTCAGTGAACTCAGTGCTGCATGTTGTGTTAGAACAATACTGCACGGTGCCCTCAGATACTAGATGAGAGCTGCATTTGCATATGATTAGAAATGAACAGCTGAATACGAACAGCACACACACTGAATAATCATTGCGGTTTAAACGTACAAGTAGTAAAAAAAACAAAGCACCTTAGACTTGCAAAACTAATCACAAGACAACGCTGATGCTTTTTCTACAAGCTGTTGCAACACATTTTTATCCACTCCACTGAAAGATCATTGAGAGTATTTGATACTCACTCTGCACGTGTCCAAGGATTGTTTCTGTGCTGGTTTGCAATCAGCCCATTCGTCTTCAGGCAGTTTGTGTCTGTCTGTCGTCTGTGCACAACCTCGGTCCTCCTGATGCATTTGCAGAGCTTCCAGCTGGGAGAGAACAACAAGCAACAGCCGCACGCATGTGCTAGACAACCTCCAACCCCCCTTCACACACACACACACACACACACACACACACACACACACACACACACACACACACTATTGTGCATTCTCATTCAAAGCCAACAGCTGTAATGAGGCACAAAACCCTAAACTGTGTACTCAT